TAGGCAGCGGCAGCATGGATGGTGCTCTTGCCACGACCTCTGCCGATGCTGCCAGTCCACTGCGGAGCGGCATGCTGAGTAATCCTGCCGTCAATGGGCGAGGACACGGACACGCGGAAAATTAACCACAGCTTTCTGCGAGACCACAACTATGTGACTGAAGGTAACAGAAATGCTCTCGTTATTCTCTTCTCGCCTTGCATGTTTCTCTGGCAAAAATGCACTGTCATGTTTGGAGCCGGAGGTTGCTGCTGGCTTCTGGTTCCTTAATCGGGAGACTTGAAAGGCGTTTTTTCCTGTGTGATGCAGCAACACGATCTGCTTGGGTCTGCTAAAACCTAACGGCATTTTGTCGTGCTGCCACGGTATATGAACCTGTATAAGGAGAGGGTAAAGAAGGTCTTGCATTGTGATCAGTTTGTGCTAGGGAGGTGCGCGGCACCTGGCATTGAATGCTGCAGTGTGCAAGATTGGAAGCAGCTGATTACTTACAAGAGATAAAAGATTTGGGAGCACTTAAGTAAGAGAAATAATCTGCAAAGTTAACTGTTTGCTGGTGTAATAAAGGTTATGCATCTCATTTTGGTAATCGTAGCCTGAGCATCACAGAAATTGCTGAGCTGATTGTTCCCTTGAGAACCGTATACATTTAGAAGGAGTATGTATGCATAATCTTGTGAAATGCTGCTGCCTGCTTTCCATCCTCCATGTGTGTGCAAGGTAGAAGGGAAAAGAAAAGGAACCTTCATCTTTGGTCAATCAATGGCTGGTAGTTTGTTACATAAAATGGATTTCCTTGCAGGTGACACACATATGCAGAGAGAATTTACCTTGAGACAAGTGAAATTGCTGGGCTAGGTCCTGAGGAACTCTGTATTTCATTGCCAGAAAGTTGGTCTAAGAGCAGGCCATTTTAAGATTGATTCTTTGAACAGGGGAAATATATCTGTGGATTGCTGGTTCTCCAAGAGCCTTCTTGTGTGCAGAGTTTTAGCAGCACTTTGCAGCAGCGGCAACCGTACTTCAGCCTGGCCTTATATAATAGGAACACGCTTAACCAGAGGGTCCACCAATGCTGCTTGAGACTCGGTCTCCAGATTGTGTTGTCATTTGATCAATGTGCAGCCACTTAATACTCCCATGCCGCATCCTGAAACGCGATCAGCTGATGCTCTCTTGCTTATTGATGATCTGCATTTTTTTAGACCATAGAAAAGAGCAGAATGATTTAACCATACCCGGAGCACAAAGCAGATTTTTCAGAAGAAAAATTAAGAAAGCTGTGTACCGTCCCTGTTCCCATCAGTTGGTGTAATTGCTTGGTAATCTTGCCCCTAGGACATTTTTTGCATCCTGGTTCATGTTTCTGTGCATCTTTTTATTTCTTTTGAAATTTTGGTTTGTGTTTTTTGTCTGAATGATTCTTTGCTTTGATTTTATTTTGAGATGAAGTCACTTCTAATAACATTTGCAGAAACTTTTTCTTAAAATTGAGATTTATCAATTCATGCCTTAGTTTCTGCCAAATGCACTGCATAATTACTGCAGTGTATTTGCTGTGTGTTAAGATTCTGATGTATATTTAATGGGCATGTGTGGCTATGCTAAAATTCAGACTTTGAAGTCTGCCAGTTTGGTAACTTGAGGAAAATAATCCCTTGTGAATTTTGTAAATCAGCCTACTTCTGCTTTATGTTATTGGGTGGATGGGGGGAGGTAAAAATTACGTGGAAATACTTTGTGTTGTCGGGCACACGGCTGACAATTGTTAGATTTTCCTAACGTTTTATCTTTACTTGATTTTTGGATTAGAAGGAGGGAATATTCAGTGGAAGGAGGGAATATTCAGCACATGGAGTGGCTTGTCTGAAATGGGTCATAATAAAGCTTGAATAACAATATTCGCCTCTATCATACTTCCCCTGTGATCAGGAGTCATTATGAAAAACGCAGTCACCTGATCTTTGGAGGTAGATGGAGTGTAGGAAACCTTCAGCAGCAGTGTTACCTCCTCAGCCCTGCCTAGTGCAATCTTTCTCGGGAATCCTCAGTTTGTCAGCTGTAATTAAATTCTCCAGTTTTGCTTTCTCTGCCATTGCCATACCTTTTAAGAGACCATATGAATGGGGATAGACTGGACTTAATTATTTGTCAAATTTTTCAAGGGACTTGTTCAGGTATCCTGTTCAAGAAGACCATAATTTAATTTTAGTGTCTCATTCACGTGTTTTATTTAAAATTCAATGCATGTGTAAGCTGGTGCTTAAACCAGGTTTTATTCCCTTTGTTTTTCTTCATGAAGCAGTCTGTAACATTTCTTGGTTGTAAAGGCCTTAAGAAACTGCAGTCCTCCCATTTGATCCTATGGTATGTTGGTACTGTGCATATGATAGCAAAGTACATGTGGAAACCTGGTAGTTCTGCCTTACAGGCAGTAGTGGAATGATTTTCCTTACGTTGGCAGATGATTTTGTTGGGGCCAACCCCAAGTCTGTCTTTCAGCTTTTTGGCTTTTGTAATCCACTGTTTAAAACAAAGAAACACTTTACATGTGTTACATATAAGAAAAGTTACTGCTTTGGTGGTGGTGAATAACTACTTTTTTTTCCCTTCAGCTTCCAGAGTTTTAAGATGTTGGTAAAAGGGAGGCTTCATGCAGCACTATGGATTTGTTTGCTAAAGGTGGCATTTCTGACCTGTAGATGCACTTTATTTCTTTTCTGTTCTCTATGGAATAAAGCCAACAATAATCAAGATACGGGTTAGCTGTTGCTTCATTTCTTCTCTCCCTCCTTTACTTCTTCAGTGAATAAAAATAAATAAATATTTAAAAATAAAAAGACCAAGTGATGTATGAATTCACAGGGTGGGGGGAAACTTTGAGCCAAGTCCGATTTCCTCTGCTCTTCCTCATGGGTCTGGCCTGTTTTTATTGGGATGGCTGGCAAAGCAAGCAGAGCAAAGTAGAATTTGATACCATTGACATTAAGGCCTTCTTTAGTTGCACTGGGGTTATCTGTACTGAACATGACTTACCTTCACTTTTGGATCTCAGATAGTTTTTTGATTCTTAAAGGTTTCTTGCTTTGCTTGCTCATGTTTTTATTCTGATTCTGGTAACATAATTTTAGAAATTGGTAGCTGTATGAATAAGCAAAACAAGAGAGACAACCTGGACTTGATTCTACTGTTATATATACTTATCTCCAATAAACTAAATGGAGTCAAGACAAGCAGGACTTGAAAAAAAAAATCCTGTTTTTAGCCTGTAATGTATGTGATATGTAGTATGTAATAGCTATGTATTGAAAAAAGGAAATTTAATTTCAGCAGCCATATGCAGTATTTTTTTTAAGTGTTCTCTTTCAGGAGTGGTTTTTGAAGGTAATGCTTTAATTGGAATTCTGCACCAGTTTTCACGGGGAAAACAAAAGACACATTTAAAGAAAGCAAGAAGAAAGAACTGAGGCCTAGAAGAGCATGACCTCTGGCTAAAGACTGAATTTCCTAATGTGAAGATAGTGAAGCAGAGGGATGGTTAGATTGCCTGTGGAGTTTCCCTCACTGGAAGTCTTTAAGGGCAGGTTATATAGGCGTTTGGAAGAAATGACATAGGATAGTTGACTGTCCTTTGGGGCAGAGGCAGGGACTAGATGACCTCTGAGATCTGTCCGGGCCGGTGATTCATTGCTGAGCCGTGTTTTATCTTTATTGCCTTTTGCACCCCAGCTGTGGGAACCAGCTGCCCAGGAGGTACTGTGTCAGTAAAACGCATTATTTCAACAACACCTTTCGAAGAACAAAAAAGAGCAGGAAAAGCATGGTGTGACATGGGAAAGAAAGAGGCAGGAGAGGAGAAACTGGAGCCTTTATGGCGTGTCCACAAAACCTGCTAGGGAAGATAATGGATGTGCAAGGTGGGGAAGTGGTGGGGCTGTGCTGGGGCAGGCGCGGGAGGGAAGGTGGCTGTGCGCTTTCTGGGGTGGAGAATGTCCTCCAGTCTGCAAATTCCCTTGGCATTTCATAAGCTTAAGATTAACAGCAAAATTGACAGGACTACTGATGTGCTCTGCTGTCTTGGGATGCTGGGATAAGCAGAACAAGCTGAGATTCAGTGGCGAGTTGTGTGGTGTGGCCACTGCGCCCTTGGGAGAGGGGAATAAACGGGGACGACGCCAGTGCTGCTCCCTTGAGCAACTGTCCTGCTGGCTCAGCAGCTTTGTATCTTACAGACTGATTGATTGACACAGAAATAATGAACAAAAAATCTCCAGTCATTTACAAAATGCTATGTTAAAGACTACGATACACCTCTACCAGCCCATGTTTACCTGCATGGAGAATTGCTCCTCTGGCACTAACCCCTTGGCAAAGGTGCCCTCTGTGCAGAGGGGTCCAGCATGTTGGATCATCCCAGCCTTTTTATGGGTTGTTCCTGTTTTGGGAAGGAGCACAGGGTTGCTGGTGCTCTCACTCTCCAGCCATCCCGTGCTTCCCTGTGGTTCCCGTGCGCTGCAAGGGCACGTGAAGCTGCTGTAGCTGCACCGGAGCAGTGGGGCAGAAGCTGCCCTTTAATATCTAGTCATTCATATAGGCGAACGGCACAGATTGGTTCCATATGGCTTAGCTTCTATTAAAAAGTTAATCATGTTAATGGTGTATTAACCTCCTCAAATGTGATATTTGAAGAATAATGAGAAGTACCAGTTCACTGTACAGCATATTGAATCATAACCATGTAAAACAATTATTATACAGGATGATTTTTTTCTTTTTTTTTCATAATAACCTTAGACAAAAATACCCATAGATAACAAAAACAGAATTTGGGGGCTTTTTGTCCAATAACCAAACTAAATAGTGTGTCTGTTATTCAATAATTGAGGTTAAGATAAATTATCCAATCTCTTCTGCTAAGAAGAAATTTGTGAACTTGACTTTCAAATTATATTTGACTTATTTATGCTGAACAGATGACTATCCGAGACACTTGGATGAATACAGAGAATGGGAACTGCTCTACTGGCTCATGCTCATGGCCTTCACTTACCTCTGAGAATGACTTAAGAAAAGAACAAAAAGTAACTCTTCTTGAGGTCATAGTGTGTTTTCTCTTAGTGACATCAATTCAGGAATTATACTGTGAATATTGAGGGCCTATAT